TGACAAATATAAAATTTTATTTTATTTAAATCCTAAAAAATTAACCATTAAATTACCATTGAAGCCTGAAGCTTTTAATTGGAATTGAAATATTAAGAATGATCAATCTGCCACAAAGGATCGATTCAAAGTCGATGGCGGAATTAATAGGCTAGAATCTAGAGGTATCCATAAAATTTTGAAAAGTCGCGTTACGCAACTGGGTTTAACGAACCGCTCATTTCCTACGATTAAATTCGAGTGTTCTCCTAAAAAGAAAAGTTTAATAGGACACTCAAATTTCACATATCGTCATCTTATAATTCTAAATCTTGGTATAATTTATTCAAAATTTTTTGATAAATATAAGATTTCATTTTATTTTATTTAAATCCTAAAAAATATTATTATGAAAGCCCGAAGCTTTTAATTGGAATTGAAATATTAAGAATGATCAATCTGCCACAAATCGATCGATTCAAAGTCGAGGGAGGAATTAATAGGCTAGAATTTAAAAGTATCCATAAAATTTTGAAAAATCGCGTTACGCAACTGAGTTTAACGAACCGCTCATTTCCTACGATTAAGCGCGCATTTTTTTCAACAGCGCGTGATCTTTTTCTCCCGCCCTCGCGCTCAGCCCCTCCGGTGTCTCGCGCTTTAATTTCCAGCCTCGACATTTGCGTAACCCAGTTTCGCCATTGTTCGATTCAATGGTAGATCGTAACGTCCGCCATCCGGATAGGAGATTATAATGCTCGCGTGTACCGTGCATCGTCGCCTCATATATATGTGCACGCGCGTACAATCAAACCCTCTAACCGAAAGGAAAGTACGCTCACGCACACGTGCGTGATGTAGGGTGATGCGTATGTGGCATACGCATACATCCAAACGATATCCACGCGATAAACGAGCGGCAACGTTGGCCGATCCGCCCGGTAGAGGTTTACGAATTTGTCGACTTTCTCCTCTTATCTGAGGTCCCGACCTCAGAAACCTCCGCCCCCGCGCCAGTTTTATATCGCGATATACTATATGTTTCCTCCTCTTTCCGTCCTCACTGCCGGCATATTACAAATTCGGTCTCGAATGAATCATCGTGAGCGATGACGACAGCGCGACACGTTTGATGTAAATGGTGTCAGTTTTTGACGTGTAGAGAAAGCAATTGTTGTTTGACAATGCACCGGAGTTTCGCCTCAAAATTTGAAGTAAAACACCAGGATTGATCTAATTTTTATAAAATTTAATCAATGATTAATGTTTCTAAATTTTTTCAAAATTCAGTTTCACTTTTATAGTCTTCTAATTTCCTATTGTATACTGTTAATTGGGCCGTATTTAGTGAACGGCATGAACTGGAATAAATATACAAAAGTAAAATGGATATATCACGTAATTTTGATAATTTTAGATAAACACGCAGTTGTATGTTAAATAACAATCGCATACATTGCAACAATTATTTAAAAGAGAATAATTACTTAATCGTACGCTATGCTCGTCACGCTATGCTCAAGAAATATTTCAGTTTTCATTAAATAATAGAAAGTTATTCAAAAGGATATTATTATTTTTAATTTTTAATTGAAAGAAAAGGTAAATACTAAAATATATTACGTTTTTTTTTGTTGATATACATGGGTTTATTATTTATGTATAATGCAATAATACTTAATAAAATTATCATTGTTTAAGTGCATCATAAAGTGATCATCTTTGCAGCAATTGTTTTTTTAAATTAAAATGTATTTCATAATCAAGTATCTTGTAGTTTTTATTATTGTATATTAAAATTTCTCTCTCGTAGTATTTCGCAAAGTATCAACTGACGTTAAGATGAGATCTCATATGGCTTACCGGCACCGAATATCGGAGTACTCGGTTTTAGAGGCAGTTTTGTTCTCGGCGCAGCAGAGCACAGCACACACAAGAGCGAAAGGTGCGGCTTGACTGGTAAAAGCGCGCCATTTCAACTCTACCTTCTTTGAGTAGTATGTTTTTTATATCGCGACATACAAATATAATTAATAAAATATAAAATAAATTTTCAAATAAATAAAAATGGAGATAAAAATGGAGATAAAGTCAGACGGCTAGAGAAAGATGGCAAATTTAATGGCAACTTTTACCTGATCTCATCTGACAGATGGATCTTGATTGGCAACCCCAACAACACGCATGTCTGAAAAAAAACATTCTCCACATTTTTAAATATCTTTAAAACACTGTAATGCTCTCTGAGCAAACTTGAGATCCATAATTTCGCTAAATTCAATTGAAACCAAGTGGATACTGGAAGAGGTGACGTAGTTCTTTGATTTCGTCTTGATATCAAGAACAAAGTGCGATTGACGTAAGACTTGAAATTGGTGAATTGAAATTCCTGTGGTGCAGGAAAGGTCCTTACACCGACTTTCCGGTGGACTTTGTATAAGGATCAATTTTTGGCATCCGAATCACGCTCATCAGTTGCGCTGCCATCGGACTGATGCGCGCTAAGACACTCGATGTGGCACACATACTTAGTGTTTCTCCCCTTACGCTTCAACCGCGGCAGGCAGTGGGTATAACACTCCGTCCAGTCATTTGTTACGTCCATGGCAAGGCGCGCGCGCGCGCGCTCGGCACGAGACCCTGCCCGGCAACTCTTCAAGGCCCAAATAGAAGAAGAAAGAAGAACGTGAGCGCGTAAGCGCGAACGTAATCCGGCCGGCCAAGCACGGATCGACCCTGAACTTCAGCCGCTACTTACTAGCATTAACCAGCAGCTGCGGCAGCGGTGTCCAGCAATGATTACCTTATTTAGCGATTTTCTCCGTGTATCACGCTGGCGAGACGTCACTTGTGTATGCGAGCGAGCGCGCGGATGGCCGTCGTAACTCTTACCCGAAGGACTCGCCTTCTCCTCTCTTTAGATAGCTTCTTTTTTTTTTAGTCTCTCTTTTGAAGATAATTATCAGCATCGTGATACATCCTCGTGATATAGCGCGACACTCGCACGCGAAGATCTCATTACGAAATACTTCTCTTTTGGTTTATCGTACACCTCGTCGCAGGATGAAAAAAAGTTAAGATTAATCTGTCTTTTTTTATCTCTTTAATTTTTTTTTTCATACCGATCTTTTTATTTCGCAATATTAATAAGATGATCGAATGATTTAAAAGCCGGCTAGCGACGTATCGTTCTCCATTGACAGTCTATGTTGCGTACCAAGGTTTCCAGCGAAATTATTTTCTTATGCAAGCACAGATGCCAGGCGGATGTAAATTTTTCAGTTACGTAACGGCGGCGCTTTATGACGTCTAATATGAAAGGAATTCACTCCGATGAGGCGTTATCTAAGAATGAATAGACGGTGGAGCCCGGCTGCGAATCTATACGCATGCTTAATGTCAATTGGCTCGGAGAACCCACTCTACGTTACTTTCGACGATTTAGTATTTCACGATGGATCGTCTTCGTAATTCTTATCCAAGGCCTTTCCTTTCGAATTTGATCGGACAATCGATTGAAGGTCATGGCAGCGCGAGATGTGCTCTTAGATTATGCTACATACCATTACATCTTGCCGCTCTATAATTTTCAATTGCACATTTACATAATTTATACCTGTTCGTACAAACAACAATATAAGATTATTTCCTCGCGAGTATCGTTTGTACGTTAAACTAGAAAAATATAACGATAGATATATCCTTCTTATATGTTTTGTTTACTCTTTCTCTCTTTCTCTCTCGGAAATATCATAGAAATGAAAGTTTGTGGGTAGCTGGCCGAATGTATTTTTTTCAATGTGATTACACATACTTTGACATTGCGGAATTTGTCGATGTTTATGGCGTTGGTTTCATAATATTAGTTATACTTCTGGCTCCTTGAGAGAATGAACCGTCGTGAAACCGAACTTTCTCTCTCCGGGCTTCCCTTGAGAAACCGAAGGAATGCTCGATCAGCCGTTAATTCTCAATTCTTAGCCGTGGCCGCATTAAACTGTTGCAAATCTTAGGATACGGATGAATGGGATACTTCTTGCGCGATCGTTATCGTATTAGTCAGATATTTTCTCAACGATTTACTGTTACACGATCATGTTGTAATAACAACCTATTAATTTGTTTTTGAAATAACAGCTAATTAGGGGCGAATTATCGATTCATTAATGACACGATGATAGGAAATTCTAAAGCGAGCCGAATTCTGTGGCAAAATAAGTAAGAAGTTCTTTACATTAACGGATAATTAATTGATTTTTCTCAGCAATAGGGGACAGGTTCATAAATTATTTAGCTTTGAAAATTATACGATTACGTCTCAATTTATTACGTAACTATTAAGTATATTATTAATATGAAAATATGATGAAATTGTGGACTTCTGCTCGACATTTATTGCGCTATAATTAGCAGTCAAGTGTAATAAATGCGATAAAAATTTTATAAAGAAGATATATATATATATATATATTTCGATTCGGTTAATAATATATGAAGTATTAATTTTTTATAAACATGTCCTTGTAAACTATCAGGATAATTACGAATATGATTAAATATATTCGATAGATGAGTAAAAAAGAATGCGTGAGAGGTTTGAATTATCTGTCTAACTAGATAATTGGCACTATTAAACATGTTTGACGTGGTCAACCGAGAGCTGCGTAGATGTAAGAGAAACGTGAGAAACATGATCTTGTGACACGTCAGTGTCTCTTCCGTCGTTTCTTAAGAGAACCAAGACACGAAAGGAGGAAATTAGTGTAACGAAGCTGTCTTCGTAGCACGCGAGGCGGCAAAACCGCTTATTGGGTTAAGGACGCGGGATGAACTTTTTATAACATAATTTCACTTACGCGAAAAAAAAAATTATGATTTCATCTTTTTTTACTAAGAAGTAAATCTATTCGTTTGTCCTAATTATTTGGGTGATGTATAACATATTTAACAGATTTTAAGTTGATGTGGAAGACAAATTCTTCGAGGCAAATGAATATTAATACTTTTTATTCTTATTTCAGACGATGTATACTGACGGTCTCCTGACCCTCCACTATGGGAAACATCCAGCGACCTTGGCCGCAGAGGTCGGGGCCTGGTACAGCGGGGACCGTCACGTGGACGTAACCCTGGCATGCGACGATGGGTCCGTCGTGAAGGCCCATCGCGTCGTTTTGGCAGCGGCGAGTCCCCTTTTAGCTAGTCTACTTCGGAATCCTGTTCTGGACCATGTGGTTCACTTGTCTGGCGTCCGAAAGACTCAATTGAATCATTTGTTGGAGTTTTTGTACAACGGAGAAGCGCTGATACCGGTACGAATTTTACAATTCTAGAAAGAGAAAAATTATTCGCATGCAACGTAACCCTGTTAAGAAAAATATTAGGTTACCTGAAATAAAGCGGAAACTTAATAAGAGAATCTTTTTTGCTGTTTAGTCGACAGAGCTTACACCGTTGAAGGAGCTTTTCGAGCTTCTACAAATTAATTCGGAGCTATTTGGGCCGAATCAACCTCAAACTTCTAGTAATTCTGATCCCGAAAGAATATCGACTCCACAGCCTTCAGAAGGGCAAGAGAGTTCCAGTTATGAATCCCAATATGATGGCAGGTTGGTGATACGTTTTACGTTTTATCAAGTTTGCGAAAATAAAAAAGAATATAGTATCAAACTTTTCTCTATTATTAGAATTAATTGAGAAACAAATGTTTAAATAAATGTCTTTTTTTAAAAAAAGTTGCGACTTTTATAAAACAAAATAATTATAACAATAATTAAACAGTCTTTTTCAGTCTTTATTCTATTTCTTGAATTTTTTGAGCAATGAGTTATTTAATATATCATTTTATTATATAATTCTTTTGAAATTGTTATTTTAATGATACTGTTTTTCTATGCTTTATATCATTTAATATTTTATCACGTTTATAAATAAATCTAATGTATCTCTCTAAACTTGTATGTAATGTACATGTAATATCAGATGATTATGTTGTATTATAAAATATCATGTCTTTCAGACAGTCCAATAATCTCGCGGACTGTTGCTCGGTTCTTATTAAAACGGAAGGCTGCGAGGAGGAGCCGGAAGTGGATGTGGAAGGTGTGGAAGGCGAGAGTCTTCTTATGGACAACAGAGAGAGCAACATAGAAGCTCCTAGAAGAAGGGATAGCTCCGATCCTGTTAATTTGAGTCTCAATTCCGGCGCTTCCGTCACGAGCGACGGCTCGCATGATGTACACAGGTCAGGCTTATACACACGCACACATTGATCCTAGTATTACGCAACAGTCCTATCGTTTTCAATGCTAGCGTATGAAGCTATCGTAGTCGTTTCATAAGGTACAAAGAATTGACGGAAATTGTTGAAAACGATTTGACTTGGTCGCAGGCCTGAGAAGCAGATATTCGAAAGGCGAGAATCTCTCGAGGAAGCCGAAGAGAGGAAGCGACAGCTGGTGGCGCGGTTGGCTCTAGGTTTAGAAGCCGGGAAGAGGAAACCTGAGGAGATACCGATCCCACCTGCGGAGGCGTACGTCGTGACGCCTCATCGCAAGCGAAGGCCAGGTTTCCACAACGCTCCCGCGCAAAATCCTGCCTTCGTACCCTTCAATCCTGGCTTCGAAACGCCCAGGAGATTGCAGGCGCCACATCAGCTAAGCGTTTCGGCACCACCGTACCTGGTAAGCTACGCGCCACTGTACCCGGTAAGCTACGCTTAACATTTATTATTTTTTTATACATATATATCTTAATCAGTGTTAACCATATCTTCAAGAAACTCGTGATTGATTAGCTTCTCCAATAATAAATTCGGTGTTCTTTCATACTGAATCGTTACAATCTTTATTTCAAGACGCAGACATGATAAGAGATATCATTCGTCAATAGACGAAATTGTGATTCGTTATCACGTGCTCGCGAGATGCTTACTCCAGTTCATATAAAAGCTCTTCAAATCCGCAATTTCTCCGTCATTAACAAGTGGCAATTGTGCAGCAGGATAGGTCGGCGACATCGCCGTCACATCGACCGCCGAGCGCCGATCCGGCGTCGGCGGCGGCCCTGGAGCCACCCTGGGGTACCTGGGCCATGCCACCCACCCGAGCACCACCGCCGCCGCCGTCGACGGACGACCCGCCCAAGTCCACCCCCGTACGTGAATACCGGTGCAGCTACTGCGGCAAGCAATTCGGCATGTCGTGGAACCTGAAGACTCACCTGCGAGTGCACACGGGCGAGAAACCATTCGCGTGTAGACTCTGCGTTGCCATGTTCAAGCAGAAGGCGCATCTGCTGAAGCATCTCTGCTCGGTGCATCGTGGCGTGATAGCTGCTCCGGACAATACGTTCTCGTGCTGCTTCTGCTCGTCGTCCAACTTCGTCAATCTGCAGGATCTCATCAGGCATCTCTCGGGGCCGCACAATAATCTACTGCTCAGCAGAAATCTACATCGCGAGTACAATCACGAATAGCGACAAGATCAAAGGCCATCCGGTGCTGAGGAGTGTTCCTCGAGCGCTCAATGATGAATCCCTGGAGCAGGCTTCTCGACGCTCCTAGGATTTTTATTTCATGACGCGATCGAGACACTCGACTTTTATTCGGATTATTTGAAAAGTTACGGGCTGTGATATCCATAAAATTATCACTCAGGAATCTTTTTTAAATTATTGTACAAAAAATTTACAGTTTAAAAATGGATGCGAGATCTTTACATTTTGAGAAATAATTTCTTTTTTCTAAAACTTTTTATCATACCGTCAAAAAAGCAACGAAAACTTAATTTACAGATTAATTTTGGATAGTCCAGCCACAGAGTTATTTTGATCTGTGAATATAATAAAGAATAATATGTGCCTTCATTCACAAGTAAAGTGCGGAAGGCAAGAACAAGAGCGATTTATATCCAAAAACTATTTTATCACAAAGATTCATACAAGAATTTATTTCTAAATTATTCTAAATTATTTCTAATTTATTATTAAATATTATAATTTGCTTTCCTTTATTGGATACTGTCATGAATTACACTTGAAAGTTTAGGAACGCACAAATTTTTTCCTTTGAAAATAATATTTATAAAATTGTGCCGTTGTCTTAACGAAGAAATGTACACCAGATATTATGCCCTATCACATAAAATCAATTTTTGATATATTCAAGGTGCATTATTTATAGATATTCGTGCATCGTAATGCTTAATTACTCAAAGAAATAATAGTATATTTCTTAAATAATAATATATTTCAAAGAAATATAATATTTCTCTTTACATGTATATATTTATACATATTTTACATCATTAATATTAATCAATATTAAAGAGACAAGAAAAAGAATTGTATAATTTTTAACTATCAAAACACAGCAATCAGATTTATAAAATATCATTTGTTATATATTACGCAATTAGAGCATAAAAAACATATTATATTATACTGTATATTATACTGTATAATATATATGTAGCTATAATATATTATAAATTAATATAATAAATTTCTATTAGAGAGAATTTATATATTAATTAATGATAATATGTGTATTAATAAATGATATTGTTATAGATTTTTTTTCTTACATATATAATTTATACAGTTCTCAAAATTATTAAGTTTTCTTCGAGAGTTTTTTATATCTATTGATATTAGGTATAAAAACCACTCTTGCATGAAAATTTAAGTACACATTTTTGGAGCGTTAAACAGCACGTTGCCATCTACTCAAGTAATTAACACTCACGATACACAAATATCTGCATGCAATGCTCACGCTTTAAGTATGCCAAACATTGGTAGAACCTTTTAAGACATAAATTGTATCTGGTGTACGTACAGAACTTTTTTCGGTTCAGATAAATTTGCGTGTAATATCTAATATTTATGTAATATTTGAAGAAAGACGCAGATGAAAAATTATGCATTTTCTTCGAAGACGAACGGCACGCAGCACCGGAGAAGCGCCTTTGAAGAATAACGAGAATAAAAAGTCGATTTTACACAAATGAAAAGAAAAATCTTCTCGATACTAAGGTCGCTCGATTGCGACTTTTCAGAAAGTATCTCATCGTTACGCATAAGCAATAAGTTTGATAAGATACCTTTGTTAATGCTCGACGTCGTCCGTACATGTCGAACACGATCGTCGAACATAATCTGGAAACAGTACAAGAATAATGATGAACGAACACGGGGGTCAATTATTATCACGCGCCAAATCTTGACGAGCTTGTAGGAACGAAGCGCCGTCTCTTTGTCGCGTCTTGTTTGTTGTTATTTTATTTTAATCGCGCACGTGGCATCCGGAAAGACGTCCCGTTTTACCTCAGCTCGCGTGCGACACTAATCTCACGATGTAAATAATGTTAAATAGGAGCGGAAAATGAGAGACGGACTAGAATTTATTTATTTCACACTTATCGCAAAGGGACCAACCGACTTTCCACCGATTTCTGTCTTAGGTAGATCTTAGGTGTCCTGCCCACCAATCGCCTTCAACTAACTGCTCGTACGTAGTTGGTCGCTGTACGGTTTTGATCGCGAACATACACGAAAGTATCTCGTCGGTATCTCGTCATGCTGAAACGGTATAAATAAAGAGAAATGGGAAATCACGAAACGAGAAGGGGAAAGCACGACGAGGGAAGAAAATATTATGGGCGAACACGAATCGGAAGACACGTTTACGATGTTTATAAATTATTGATGCAATTTATTGTAATATCTAGTAAACGTCGACGTTGTGTTAATACTCTGTCTTCTAAAGTCCCGTCTTCCACATCGTTGTCTCTTTCCATATCCTCTTCATATCCTGATTCACGGTTTTACCCTTCGGTAACTCAGCGACTCGAGTGCCTTGTCAAATGGGTCCAAATTGGTCGATTGGGCAGTGATTTCATGTGTTCATAGTCTTAAGGGACGTAGACGTTTAAGATGACGATAATGAGCTCGCTTAGAAAATGAAAAAATGTTAATGAGTTCACGTACAAGATTTTAAGATTTATTCGAGTTAATTCAACTTTTCGTTAAGGCTAGTTAGATCGTTGTAAGTAGCTTTCTTCTCTCTATAATTTCATTTTTGTTTGACGCAGGACGTCATATTTTTTTTTCTTTCTTCTCTAGGTAGGCATTATATTACCTAAGGTGCCTTGAAGAAGGGCCTCGGCCTCTTTTTTGCTCCTTAAAAGTTTGTAAAACCACCTCGATGATACTCGAAAATGTGACTTTAAAGGACGAGAAAAAATGAATTGGTCGATTAACGAGAGAGACATACCTGAAAACTTATTATTTTCAATGTGAATACACATTCCATATATGTGCATATATACGAAAGTATAAAGACTACTTTTAATGCAGCAATTGATCGAATCGTAATTGTGAGGAATTGCAAAATGAGCAAGATACCGAGATACGTGTATTATAAATCTAAAAATTGAAGGAATCTAAAAATTAAAATAATTGTTCTCTAGCGAAGTGTAAGCACTTCGATACGCTCACACCAAAGACATTTTCCACAAAAATTGTCAAATAAGATTAGTTACACAGCAAATGCAATTTTAGTTTTTAAAGCAATACGCGACATTTTGGACAAGATTTTTTATACCTAAGTTTTAAACGGCGCGCACACAATTGTACTTGAAAGATATTACAATCTTAATATATACTTAACTGCATAGATACGTTATCGATTACAACGCGGAGATTAACAAAGTAGGAATGTAAAAGAACGCTTAATATTGATGTATGCTAATGACAGTAAATTTATCTCTCAACTGAATTTTAAGTAATAAAATAGTCGTGTCTAGGTAAAAATTACGCAAAGATGTAAATTTTTCGTTTCGTCTCAGAGTCATATCTTATCTGTCAAACAAAGCGCGGGAAACACGATCGCGATCGAAGTTGCTGTTTATTCTTGTAAAATAAAAAAAAAATCGCAATCGTTCGGGATGGAAACCAATCGATCGGTATGTCTTCTTTATTCTACCGTTTTTTTCCGTCATCACGACGAATATATCGTGACGAAGACGCGTATGTACATCGTAATGGAGCAGAAAGCGAGGTTAGAGGGGTGGTGTGCGCTCTCGCAAAGCCAAGCAGACAATGGCCAGCACAAAACACAGTGAACGTAATGTGATACTAAATGATAATAAAGCTAAAGTAATTATTATTTAGCGCGCGGTGTCGCATCGTTCCCGTGATCGGCCCGTCGCGGGCTCTCGATGTGACCCGGAAAAATCTTTGCAATCGCGAAGGCGGGAGGAAACCGATCGAGGGATGATCTTGCGAGTCGCCTATAATAATTAAATAAACGCGATCGGCTTTGTCTCACCGTTCCCTTTCCACCCTTATCACGTGCTCCCGACTTTCGATCGTTCCCTCTTCTCGAGCCGTATAAACGCACTAGGATTATGCATTACAGATTATTTTATTGTTAATTAATTATGTTTAGCGCGCCCACACATCCGGATGTCTCTCTCGAAACCGTGTCCGGCGAGGGAAAAAAAAAAGAAAAAAAGACAAAGATCTCGAATTCGATTTCGCTTTCGACAGACAAATGGAAATGTAGAGAAACACTGGATTATTCGATGCCAAATCGGTTGAACGATAAGTTGAGTGATTTAAAAATAGATACAGGTTTAAAGGATGTATAAATTGGCATATAAATTTGTAAAAATAGAGAAAAATGTTGATTTGTTATGATTCTTCATCAGCGTCTTCTTTTCCTCGGGCATCCGGGTGAAACTTTGTAGATTTTAAGCATTTTCCAAGCGGGGCGCGAGCTTCGTGTGCTTTCTTAGTGTTCATAGGTTAACGAAAAATAAATTAATTCAGATGCAAACACTGTGTACAACAAGATAAAAGAAAGCGAGCGTAATCGAACTAATATGTATTATCGATTTTCCTTCTCTCATCCTAAAACCCTCATCATAAAACCTTCTATATTTAAATAGAAATTTGTAGAGAAATTGCTTTTCCAAATTAGCTATATTAAATAATTTTAACAATTTTGATAAATTCTGATTAAAGAAGATAATTTTAAAGACTCCTTTGCAAAATGTTATTCTTTGAAAACTTTTAAGATAAAATTTTAAAAAATTATTTTATACACAATTAGAAAAGAGGAGAAAGTTCGTGTTATATGATACTTGATGAAAATACATTGACATTAAAACAATAGATTTTATTGCATGCCTTGGAGATGAAAGTGCAGAGAAAGAATCTTTTACACACGTAAGATTTTCGTGTTATAGAGTCACATACCAATAATTTCTACTTTTTTATTACTCAATGATTCAAGCCACATAACCCGCTGATCAAATACACCGGGAATAGCTGTCGCGTTGCCTTTTAATTATATTAGACCGTCTCCTTCATCAAGATCAAAACACTAATTGTCATTTTTGCGAAATGCGCATAGCGGTTCGTGGTTCGCAAAAGAATCCCGGAAAAAAAGGAGAGGCTCAACGTCGCTGGCTAACGGTCCGCGAGGGACTCTGGTTTTGTATAAAAAGAAAAGCCGCACACACAGTGCGAGACCCGTTACCAGTGGGCTACGTTCCAGCAAGATGCCGTATGCCATGTACATCCAATCTCGACAGTGTCGATTGCATAATTACACCGTGACACAGACAACCTCCGTTCTTCGTTTTGATTCCTTTCAGAGGGATCGGTCTGCACATGCTCCGAACGTAAATACGCGTTCATGCAAAGTTTCAGATCGCTGGAACTGGTTTTATGAATGAAGGGATGAAGATGGATGTTTGTAATGGAACGCACAAATAAACACAATTTGTACGCATCACATAAGGAATCATGTAATAAATTGGAATTTATTATATTAATGCAAATATTGATTGCACTTTTTCGACATGAGATATTCCAACGATATGTAGCTTTTTATATGTTTAACAATTATAATAAATTGACGTATGCAAATTTTGTCGACAAATTTCATCTTATCAATCAAATTTCAATAAATTATGTCAACTTTTCTCAATAAAATTATAATTAATTCGAGATAATGTCAAATATTTATAATATGTATTATTTTTTAAAAATTTATTTTGAATTTGATAATATTCGTAATTTGATAAGAAGAAGAAACAGAAAAATTATTTTGAAAAATTATAAATGTACAATAGTTATAAATTTTAGAAGATTTTAAAAGTCTACCAGCATTGCTTCTGCTCCAGTTGTCTTTAATTAAGGAGCATGATTTAAATTGGAGATACATCAAGAGTTGAAATTCTTCTCCGTTAACCACACATCATTTAATTCGGGAAATTATTAGGAACTTCCACGTAGTGGAAAGAGTTCTCTCTTTAGTAATATTCCCGAAGGGATTGGTGTCTATAGGTCTGGAAGTACCGTTCATCTTGAAGTTGCATAATCTTGCATTTCTGGTTCTTGGTCGCTGTCGCTGACCAAGATGGACTTGCCGAGAGATATTCGTAGGCGCATCATCATTGACCAATGACCACCGTCTGCTCGCCCAGGCTCTCGGGCCGCGGAGAGTACCGTAAGAGTATCAACACGTGAGTAACACAGAGGGGGTAAGACCGCTCGGTCAACGCTCCTGCTATAATGTATATAAAGGTTGGGAATCCAACGGATACTCGAGGCAGATCATCATCAGACATGTTCGGGAAGATCATCCTAACGCTCTCGACCCTGGCCTGGGCCAGCGCCCAAATTCCTAATCTGGGCTTCTGTCCAGAATACATACCCATGGCGAACTTTGATATGGAAAGGGTGAGTAATTTTATTATTTAGCTTATTTTATTACATTTTTTAATTTTTTTAAATATATTACACTTTCTTTCGATTATGCATTTATAGATTATATTAATTATATATTAACAATTATATTTTTGTGTTAAATTTTTTACATTAAACATTGGAAAATATATCACTTATGGCCATTTTTATCAACGTCGCTTAACTTTAATCTTAGCTTAACTCATTCTTTGTCTTTTTCTAAAGGAACAGTTAGAAGAAGACGAAGAGTGAGTTAAGCTAAGATGAAAGTTAAACGACGTTGGTAGAAAGAAGCATCAGTCTGATTGTAAGAGAAATGATTTTTTTTGTTTTTCTCGTTGATAGCCCATCATAGTAAACATGATTCTTTTGTCAGACACAGATATTTTCATGCGACTCATCGTCAATATTGATTTCCATATAATGGACTTGATATGTTTTTCAGTTAATCTTAACATATGAATGCAACAATTTGATCTGCCATTATAGAATATTTATTTGATCTGCCATTATAGAATATTTATTTGTATATTATAATGTTATGAATATCGGTAATATTTAAATAAAAAATTTTGTGTAATAATTAAGATTAAACTTTTCGAATATTTAATACTTTACAGTTTCTTGGCATTTGGTTCGAAGCCGAGAGATACTTCCAATTAAGCGAAGTGGTATCTCGATGCGTGATGACGAATTATACCAAAGGTACCGATGGTAGATACCACGTGAGCAATCAAGTCACGAATCGTTTGTGAGTATATATTATGCGTCTCTATTTTCAAATAATCGAATCGATTTTTTTTAATTTTTTCTGTGAGTGAGATCAACTACAAAATCAAAACATGGCTGGCAAATAAGCACTGTTTTAAAGCTTCAAGTCAGATTTAATTATAAGCATTTTAACATTTATACAAGGATAATATTTTGATCACGCGGTTCCGGCGAAAGTGTTTCAAACGATTGTGAAGAAAGGCCTCCAAAAATCAATAATCCACTTAATAATTAAATGTGTTCATTTTTATCGATGCCGAAAGGACATGAATAAAATAAATTAATTTTTCTATTATTCTTTGATTTTATGCAATTTTAGTTTAATTATTTAATAGACGCGCATTGTTTTGACATGTGAATTTCTCATTATTAATATTTTTGACACATTTAGTACCGGTGTAAAGAGAATATTGGATGGCGAAATTAAACCCGCAGCTTCCAAGGCCGAGGAGGGTAAACTTCAGGTTAAATATACTACAATTCCACTGACACCCGAAACCAAGTACTCGGTACTCGAAACGGATTATGACTCGTATGCCGTTTTGTGGAATTGTCAAGGTATCGGTCCTGTTCATGCGCAAAATGCGTGGGTAATGACGAGGCAACGAATACCATCTGGAGAAGTGCTTCAAAAGGTATGTGCTTAATAAAGTAAATGCATTAAAATATTACGCGCCTTAAAACGCACGATATGTATACAAGACACACATACATATATGCTAAAACTATTATTATTATTGTCTTAAAAAGATTATTCTAAATAGCTTAGTTATCTCGTCTAAGAAATTATCGTCCAATTAACTCCTTAGTAATTATTATTATGTAAAATTAATAAAATTCTTAATGTAAAATCTAAGTACTTATTTCTTAATAATCGACATAATTTTTATTTTTGTCGCAGGCTTATGGCGTTCTCGACAAATATAAAATATCAAAGACGTTCTTCGTGAAAACCGATCAGGCGGATTGCGCCTATCTAGAGGCGGATACTCGCATAACAGAGAAACCCACCACGCAAAAACCAGGGGAACAGAATTCGCAAACGGCCGAATCGAACGCTAAATCGGCCGTCGTCCAGAACGACGCCCACATCGAAACGAAGGAAGAACCGGAAGCTGGGATTTCGGCTGAGAAAGCGGCCTTCGACGCCCCAAAGATAATAGCGGAGGAGTCCGTAAAGGTCGAGCAGTCCGTAGACACCGTTCCCGAACGGATTCTAAAAATAGCCGAGACGATAAAGGAGGAGGACGACGTGCATGCTAAGACGATCATTGTCGAAGTTAAGGAAGATATCGCCGCGGAAAGTGCGAAGGAGAAGAGCGAGTATCCGAATGAGACGGAGAAAAAGACTGTCTAGGAGTATCTAAAGAGATCTGTTAGTTGGCGATTAGCAAGGGCATATTCGGGGTTATTCGATGGTCTTAGGCTTGTAGCGGTTTTCTCCTTGTAAACCAGTCTCGCTTAAGTACAGCAAAATCATTAATCATTGTCCCGTAGGCGCGTCGTCGTCGCTCGAGGACATGGGGTTGGCACGGCGCTTTGTTTTATAGACTTACGTACAAATGTAAAAAAAAGAAATGAAACTAAAAAAGAATAAAGATTGTTATAAAAAACGATTTAATAAAATTTGCTCGTTTTTGTGTCTTCGTCACTTCCACTTTACTGAACAGTATGTAAGTAAAATCGATTATCAAACATATGGCCGTCGTAATTTAAATGTAAGTTAATGTAAAGATAATTATGTTTGATTAATTAATGACAATTTTGATTAATGGAAGAAGTAACTTTATTAAAAGTATTCTGTGTAAGGTTTCTACGGGCATTGTGATAATTTGTGGGTCGTGTGGATATATTATGCGAGGGAAAACGATTTGCGGACTCTTGGAAAGTCTTTTCAATTCATGCGTCACACGACATGATGCCAGTAAAAGCTAAATATGTCGTGGCATTTTCATTGTAGACAAATATAAGCGGGTCACGTAACGGATACATTTTTCCATATCATTAATATTAATTTGATTTCTTGTTTCGACAATAATGTATCAAAAATATCGTTCAATATATAAATAAATTGATGTGATGCCAAATATTGGCAATTAATCAAATATTTCATATTCAAATATACAAATAAAATTAGAAGAATCTTAATTAGAATTGAATTAGATAAATGGATAAGAAAATATGAAATTTTACATAATATTTTTATTATATTTTAATATTTTAACATACATAGTGACTCATCAAGAAAAAGAAGAAACTTGAATAATATATATATATTTTTTCGCATTTATAAAAATATAAAAAAATATTTAAATTGAAAATTATCCATAAGAAAATATTTCTTGATAATGCTTTAACGAAGATTCTTTCATGTTTCTTTCTTATTTAATGAGAGCTAAGTAATTAAAATTATTTAGAACTAATGTAATAATTTGTGACGTATAAATATTAATTAATTCGCAAAATAATGAACTTGAAATCAATTCAAATTTTATATTAACTGAAATATCGATGTGCTCCTTTTTTAAGTTATTCAAAAGTTAATACTAACGTGTTATTTATCGCTGTAAATATTTCTTCGGGACGTTGATTTTTGTTTGAGATTATTAGAAACGATCGAGCATTTTCGAAAGCAGTCCATCGCACCCGATCGTAAAATAATTCACGTGTCTTTGAAATCGACGATCATCTATTGGTTAATGGTAAATTCGAGACGGGTTTCTTGAACCCCGGACGTACCGTTATTGACCTACTAACTGACAGAACTCTGCCAAACGCATCCAGTCAACGAGTCCGTCTTCGCAAGCACGAAGTGAGGAATAAGAAGCGCAGTCACCTGCGAACAGTTCGTCGCGCGAGGAGTATACTGAATACATCAATTCCGCATATTGGTATTCAACGCGTATTTCTTTCCTGGATACGATCAAGGTCATCAGGTGAGTATCTCATTTAAATCGTAAAGTAATCATCAATACTCTTTTCTTCCCTCCATTCTCCCCTTTGCGCTCTAAGCTTCCAATTCACCTGCTTCGTCTCGTTGAACTTCTTGCAAATACTTTACTAGCAGAAACTATTTGCATAAATAATCATTTTCACGAAATAAATAGAATGGATGAAGGAATAAGAATTAAAATCGGTTAAACTTAAATCATCTGCATTAAAATTTTTGTACAGATATTTGATTCATTTAATATTATGGCATCCTCAGAAAGACATGGGAACATCATTAGAATTTCAAATCGTTTATACAATATCGTGAAAAAATAACTACTCGAAATAATTATCTGATATTATCTCATTTTTTTATGTGTCAGTGCTTGCATATAAGTGAAATCAATACACGAGTTTATATAATGTGAGTGATAAAAACTAGCAAAACATTGAATTCATAAACATAAAATATGACATGCAGAAATAACGTCATTAGTATAAAAAAAAAGTACCGGGATATAAAAGAATGCACGCCTATTTGTCTTCAGTTTTCCGCTAATATAGTTACGTAGACTGACAGCGTACTTTAAAAAGGAGAGAAATACTATCGAAAAATATTCTCGAAAAGTTTGCTAAAATCAACGTAAGCAACTTATAAGCAGAAAAATATAATGTCATCTGAATTTTGTTGTTTTAATAGCGACCATCTGATTAGAAACATAAACAATTTTCTACAATTATATTAACAATTTTCGATATACATACAGTATTTCAACGAGATAAATACGAGAGTTTGTTTGAAATTAAATTTACAGTATCTCTCGAACGAATATAGAAAGAATGTAATATTTTTGCAATATAACGGATCGAAGATTCTAATCTCTTCAAACATCATAGATTGAAACTTAAGATTAATTTAAAATAGCATCTGTTCATTTGAATTAATTTGCATGCATATAATGCTGAAATCGATTGCCGTTGATGTTGTAAAAATAATTTTACGTTCTATATTTCTAATGAAAACTTGACTGATAATATACATTTTTTTTTTCAGAAAAGAAAATGTTGCGAATATTTGTAATCGTTATCATCGCAAATGCAGCGATAGCCCAAGTGCCATTTTTGGGTACATGTCCAAATTTGGAGGCAGCGCAACATTTTGACGTTAATAAAGTAAGTATCGATAATATATCGAGAATTAATAATTCTTTAAATTAATTATCTAAATTATTATACATAAGTGATTATGAAGTTTTTACGATATAAAGTAATAATTATTATTGTGTCCGAAAATAAAATTTTTTTTAACTTAATTATATTCTACGAATGAAAGAAAATTCATGCAAATTCTCGCTTTAATAATATAAATTAGTATTCAGTAGTTGAAATATAAAAATATATCATAAATATTTCTTTTTTTCAGTATTTGGGAAAATGGTACGAAGCCGAAAGATACTTTGCGTGGTTCGAATTTAGTGGAAAATGTGTGACAGCTAATTACAGTCTGAACGAGAATGACACGGTGAAGATCAATAATAAGCAAATTTCATCATTGTGAGTATGATAACGTTCATAGAATAATTTTATATAATTATATATAAAATTCATAGAATAATTTTGGTCATTAAAAAAAATTTTATATAATTCATAGAATAATTTTATATAATTCATAGAATAATTTTGGTCATTAATGGTTAATAAAGAAAAAGAGAAAGAGAGGAGAAATCAGAGATGATCAGTTGCCAGCAATTATTCATTTGGAATAAAGCTCTGTCTGTTTTGCTTAGAACTGGAGTTGCATCGAGTATCGAGGGCATTGGAAGGTTAATTGGCAGATCCGATGATTCTAAATTAACCGTTACTTTTCCATCCTTGCCACTATCGTTTGATGCACCTTATTGGATTTTGGATACAGATTACAAGTCATACAGCGTAGTATGGAGCTGCACAAATCTCGGAGTGTTCAAGTAAGTGTCATTTACAAAATGAGAGAGAGAGAAAAAAGAACGCGTTGAAAAAAAAGAATAAACTAAAATTTCAAAAATTTGGAATTGAATAGATGATAAGTTCTTTTTTTAAATTTTTATCGTTAAATATCAATTTTATATTCTCGTGTATCTAAATAAAGAAAAGATTTAATTTTTAATCTGTTCATGTACTTTAAATATCATCAAGAAAAACTCAAAGGTATTAGATTATTAAACAATTTTGTCCTAAGTTCTTGAAATTAAAATGTATTTTCATTGCAGCGTACGAAACGTTTGGATTTTAACACGAGAACCAAAGCCGCCAATTGCAGTTTTAGAGAAAGCTTACCAAGTTATCGATAAAAACAATATCAGCAGGGCATATTTTATTCGAACAGATCAGAAAAATTGTCCGATTTCGTATTAAGAATGGTCTATATATATTTACAAGGAAAAATGTTTGGTGAAGAACGAAATATTTTTTACGATGATTCTTTAGATTATGAATTTGAAATATCTAATCAAAATCAGAATACTGCGTGGTTGTAGTTTCACACTTAAAATTTTTTCCATATCTGTGATTTTTAACGCAATATGTGTCAAAAATTAACTTATATAGACTTTTTAGACTTATGGACTTATATACTTTTTTACAATGAAGTTTAAGGAATTTAATAAATTAATCGGGCATATATAGCATCATTATAAATATAATAGATATGGTTATAATTGTATTAATAACACTTTGAAAACGCGAGATATGAGTTTTAACTTGTTTATTTTTTGATATATAATTATTAAATAAAAAATAAAAGACAGAATAAAAAAAGTAACATCTCTCAATATTTAAATACTGAAGCGTCTGAGTAATAAAATAATCTCGCGATCAAAGTGTTAAAATACAAATATGTACGATATATGTACATTTTATGTTTATACTTATTTATATTTATATTTGTTTTTTATAATATAGTTACTCACAATTGTTAAATTATTATGTTTATTTAATATATTATGTTTATACATAATATTATTTATTGAAAGTATATTGCGACACTAAAAGACTGAAAGACAATTTGTCTTAACTTTTAAAATTGTTATAATATTTTTGAATGAAAAAATATTATTTATCAAATAATCTCATCTAATTTATTATCCACATTTTTCTACAGATTTTTCCCAGTAATTATAATTACAAAAAATAAGAAATATTGCGAAAAAAGAAATCTTTTTTTATTGACATTACTACTGTCATATATTTAATAATTATATATCATTTGGATTGCTGTGAAAATATATAGTAGTTTTACGTATAGAATAATTTAGATAATAATTTCATTTGAATTACTGATGTGTCGTAAACTTAATCACCGACGAACGATCATGTTGGAATCCTTTGATGAAATATTATCGAGCCCGGGAGTGTGCCCATGGCTGTGGGCATCGACAAGATACAGTTAAATTCTTCCGGGTATTTGCGTAGTTTGAAAAATCCGCTACACGCTAATGCTCTCTTAAAAAATATAACGGATAAAGTAATAATCATAGTGATAACAGAAATGCAGTTATTCGAGAAAGAGATTATTACGTCGATATATATGTAAACCTGCTAACATAATAATAATTTAATTGTAAGATAAAAAGAATCTAATTTTATTAAATATTTTATTTATTTTCTTACTAATTAATATTAATAGTTTAATAATTATTTTCATGGGAGGAATGTTGCACTTTTATATATTATATAGTAGCATATTATTATTTTTTTATTTGCATAGTTAATACCTATAAATAGATATAATAAATTAAACTCACATATATGCATGAATGCACGAATACAAATATAATTCATAAAAATATTTTTTTGATTAAATCCTAATTTTTTTACTTTATGATATAATATATTGTTATTATTTTATTATCTTTCACAATATTTGTTGTAGATTCACAGTATTTGTTGTACAACTTTCCGTTATCAATAACAAATAGCATTTTTATTTGATAAAACGTTTATGTTTGTTATTTTTGAAGCAATCAAAATGATTGATAATGACATTTTTCTTTAATTATCTCCGGGCCAATCGAGGCACTTGATCGTGACGAGAATTTACCCATGGTTGATCGTTTTTAACAGTACCTGGTCGGATGAAAAGTTTCAGCTGCAGGTATCAGAATCTCTGTTGCAAGATCCCGCAGACACATCCAAGCTCGACCGCTTCAGTAGCCGATACAATTGGTCGGTAAGAAAAATTTTCTTAAACCAGTTATGAAAATTTAATTATGCAAAACGACACGAGAAATATTTAATCGACCATTAAGTTAACGATAATTTACGTACGCGAGCGAGCATCCGCTTTGTAATATTACATACATAATACATGCAGCGATGGCGCGTACAGTGTTTTATTTATCGCGCTGGAGAAGGAAGCTAATAAATGGCTACGTGAAAAGTTTCATTAATGGGGTAGTAAAAGTTTCGGGGCAATATAATTAACTACAAGAGAAAAAAAAAGATAGAACGCGCGAGAGAGAGGAGGCGCCGGGTCACTCAAATGTGAATCAAAATCTAACAATGCCCGGTATTCCTGATGTCGGACGCCTCTCCCACGTTAAAAATGCGGGAAATGATCATGGTCGAAATAAATCGGACCGACGAAAACATCGCGCGCAACAATACCTTTAAATTAAACAAATAACGGTGACGCACGGGGTGCGGTCGCGTGCGAGGCCGGGCTTTCGGCCATTGTCACGTGCCATTCGTACAAACAGACAGTATTCAATTGCGGACCTGCAGGATATGCCATCAGGGATGCATTGTGCATCGAGAGAAAGAGGAGTCGCTCGAATCCCACGAATCACACTGCAAAAAACGTATGAGTTTCTCTGTGTGAACGCGTATCGCATAAATCCTGGCAGAGACACCATTTTAATAGGACATACATAATAATAAGTATGTATTTCTTTCCACATCACGTTACATATATAAAAATTCTATTTACATTCATACTTTAGTACATATTAAAATTTATTGCAGTATCTCAGTTTCATCTCTGTAAATTATTTTATTTAAATAATTTTATTTAAATAATAAAATAATTGAAAAAACATTTCTTAAAAAGGACGGAAATTGCGCTGCATCATACATACATGAGATGAAACTGAGATACTGCAATAAATCTTGCCTTTCATTTTTTAAGAGTCGAGAAACATATTAAAATTTCTGTATCCTTTCTTTAATACTTTATATAAGCTTTGCTTTTTTTATTCCTATACTTCATAAAGCCATATTTTCTGCCTTTTTATACGGCTAAAAATTGGCGTATTTTTTCCAGCTAGATAGTCTTTTCGTATAATCGTCGCCATCTCGCTTGTGTAATAAATTAAAATGCCGTAGAATCTAAATCAAGATCTAGATAGAGGCAAAGAACGCCCGCTAGGAGCCGTGGAACCCCCTTCCGAATTTATCTCGTCGTTCTTTTCCTCTCGAGAACTCCTTTTACGCACGAAATGAAACAGGGAGGATGGGCAGGGGGAGGGGGAGGGAAGAAGGGCGATGAGGATGCAAAGAGCGGAAGGGGATACACGATCGGGCTCACGGGCGGCGGCCAAATCTCGGCGTGGGCCCTACGGTTTTCGAGGGGCACGGGCAGCGGTCCCTAATAACAGGGTACACCGAAGCTAAACAAACATACACGCCCCTGGCATCTCTCGCTGAAAGAGTGCACGGGAAGCAAATGGGAAAAAAATGCTCTTTCGACACACCGTGCAACAATTTGAGGATGAAGTATTTGCTTATTTCGCATAATTTACAGGAAAACAGATATTCTATATCATGCACCTGCTGTTTGCTCTCGACTTCTCGTTTCTTTCTGGAGAAGGAGAACGGGAATATCCGAGATACGAGGATTCGAGACTGAGAATTTCGTTGCAGTGTGATTGCATTTATAATTGTAATTGAATCTGAACTCAACTTTCAATGAAATTTCCCAAGTTATATGTAAGGGAATTGCGTAATACACTTTATAACATTCTAAGTTCTCAATTAAGAAATTTAGTTTCAAATTTAGCTCTGATTTTATTTCTCGAAAAGAGGTAGAATAACGTATTATATAATATATTTTCAGAGAATTAATAATAAGAATTAATAATAAGAAATTATATTTTCTTTCTCTTATTTAGAATTTAAATTGAATAATGGAATAAAATTGATGATAATAAATTAAAGAAAAGAAATTCGGGTATCAGAAGTAGGGCATCAATTTAAAATCTCAAGATACAATCGTTAATAACAAGTTTTTAACATTTCGATGTAACATCAAAATATTCGATACAATTCTTTTTTTATACACTTTTAATAATTAAAGGATGTAAATACACGCAAATATCCCTATAATTGCAGTGAGCAAAAAATAATTGGATCTATTATGCAATGATAAATTAAATGTACATCTTATATAACTCGAATTATACATAGTTACATAAACGATACGCTCGATAAGAAATATTCTTAATAACGAAAATTGTTATAAACTACCTCTCATTATTTAATTGTTAATATAATAAGAAAAAAAATTTTTTTAAGTATTGCATTATATATAAAACATTTTTTTTCTCTCTCATTTCGAGTTAATTTTTTTATGTCTCATATTTTTCTTACGACAAATATCGAGATTAAAAGAGAGTGCACAGAGAACACTCGTTCCACGTGTTCTCATTTTGAAGAGCGAGAGAAACATGGTTGTTTGCATTTCACCTGGGTTCGGGGTGGTCCACGTCGAAGGATCCATGTCATATCCAGCTGAATTTAATAACAAACATGGAAGACATTCCGTCCGTCTGTAATTTTACTTAAATAGTATATGCAATGTAATTATAGTTATTTACATTTCTTATTATCAGTTAAGTCACTTGCATCATTTCAAAATATCGCTCTATAATTTAACATCAATCGTGGCTAAACAATTATTTATAGAAAATATACATTTGTTTTCATTGCCAATAAATAATACATTAATGTGTCTAACGGATGAAAGGCATTGCTTCAAACATTCTGATTTGTCTCATATCACAGATCTTAATGTCACCACGTGCGTCGCATTACGTGGATTATTCATTGTTTTCTAAACTTAAATGGAAATATGGAACAACGAGGTTGAATCTATAGGATGGCCGCTCCATTTGTCTCCGCGTGTAAAAGATCGGTAAGAGACGCGCGAAACGCGCGAGCGAACGAGAAGATTTAAGTAAAAAGCCGTGAAAAGAGAAGAGGAACGAGGCAGAAGGGAGAAGAATAAGACGCGAAGGAGAAGAAGAAGAAGGCGAGGACGAAGGTAGATGAGACAAGGGGCATTCTGGTTTGTGGGCACAGCCGCTGCCTGCAGCCCACAATTATGATAATAGCCCCTGAGTCCTGAGTCTTGTTAGGCCAACGTGCAGCCCCAGCGCTTTTATCTACATCTTCTTATTTTCAGACTCGCGTTCCTCTCCCGCCTCCCTCCCCCCCCTCCTCGCTCCGCTCCCCTCGCATATTCCCGCGGCTTTTTCTACTTTCAACCCTTTGCGTCTCCTCGCGGGGGTCAGATTGGTTCAAACCGATCGATTCTCTCTCTCTCTCTCTCTCGTCGAGCGAAAGAACAAATCCGATATATACCCCATCGTCGAAACCCCATGATGATATATATCGCGCTATATTCCACGCTGGATCCGAGTAATCGAAGCTCTATATCTTTCGCACGTATATTTCGCGATGTATCGAATGTCTCGTTGAAACATTGTTACAGCAGGTACATGCGCGACGAAGTGAAAAAAAATTCTCTTTTATCGCGCGTTCGAAAAATTGTCGCGCCCCGATGTAGAAAATGGAGGGAACTCTAACTGTCAACGCGCGATTCCGGCAACTCGGTGCTACATCTCGGTGTCCGCAAACGTTGTAAAAGGCGGTAACAAACGGCGCACGCTTTAATCCATTTTCAGAGCCACCCCGGGTCCTTTTGAGCGGTCGCGGAAAGCGTTAATTGGAGGCCGCGCCGCGCGCGATCGGCGTAAAGGAAGTCTCGTTTAAAGCGAAAACCGCAGTGATAATGCATCCGGAGCTCTTTCGGGCGGACGTAGACGAGAGAGGTCTTCTTCTGGTGTGTACGTGAGCGTAAAAGGGCACACCGTCCGAAAGTGCGCTACCCTCATTTCTACTAAAAGCCGCTCCTCGCGAAGCGCGAATTCGCGTCCCTTTAATAATACATCATTGCAATGGCTGTCTAGAGAAGGAGATTCTCAAGAGAGGAAGAGAAATGTTTTTTTTTTTCCATAGAAATATATTGAAACAAGATATCACAGATATTTGTTTACAGTGAAATATCATATATATTAATTAATTAATTATTTTAATAAAAAAAATTCTCTAATAACTGATTATGAATTTTTGTTGATGAAATATATTGTAATTATACGTAAAATATATGATTGTGAATTATTATATATTATTTTATATACAAATAAACTTTGCTAAAGATTAAAGCAAATGATGAATTATATCAACAGCATAAATAACGTGTTGCGTTTATATAAATAAGAAAAAATGAGTATAAAGAAAAGAAATACGTCAAATATATCTATTAAATGAGTCTTATGTCTCACGACATTTTCCAGAAGCTGCTACTGAGTATAAATTCGGATAAACCGAGAGTTTGGTCGACGACTGCTAGATATACGACTGTTTGCACAGATTAGAACCGACAAAGGGATCCGTTCTCTCTTCTTGACTTTAGCTTGATTTAAGTGTGGCGGTGGGTATTTGCAATAGATTAAACCACGTTTTTCGTACCGCGTACCCTGCGGTGTCTTGTTTATGATATCAGCTGTACCGCTTTAGATCTGCTGTACGCATATTGTGCTCACACACGTGCCAACTATCACGGCCAGATAGCAATACAAACATATTCGCCAAGATTATGGAGATGTTTTTTTAAGCGATGTATATACGTATATATAATTAGAATTTTATATTTTGTTTTTTATATTAAGGAGAAATTTAATGAAATTTACATTATGAGAATGCGACAAATTCTTTAGATAATGAAACGGTGCTTCTTTACACAAGAGCAACTTCTTTTTAATTAAAATTAAATATTTTTAACGAACCGCCCTGAAATTCCAATCATGGTTATTATAATAATATAGCAAGTCACTCTGTAATTTCATATAAAAAGTGCAAAAATTATCTATTAATCTGATCAGCGTACATTCTAGATCTTACTTAATTTTTTTCACTCTCATTATGTTTCTAAACCTTGTACTAACAGTCTTCTTATTTTCGATGTGGCGTGTAATTCGTATAGACGTTATAATATAGAAATGATGAGTAAACACGAGCTAATTTCATATAAAAAATGCAAAAATTATCTATTAATCTGATCAGCGTATATTCTAGATCTTAACTTTTTTCACTCTTATTATATTAATAAACCTTGTACTAACAGTCTTCTTATTTTCGATGTGGCGTGTAATTCGTATAGACGTTATAATATAGAAACGATGAGTAAACATGAGCTGTATCGGCCGTGGAATATTAAATGATAACTCTCTCATGTAACTGTATAATCGCCGAGATTAAGTTAATAGCCTCCACGACGAGATCGCGATGCAGCGAATCAATAAGAGGGCGGGTGGATGGACCGCATCTCGGACAAATTTGTTTCTCATCGACCGCTAAAAGATCGGGCCCCGTTAACGGACAGCGTATCCTATGCATCCGTACTATAAGAGAGTAATCATTTGATTGGTTTCTCTCTCTTCTTTTTCTCCCGTCGCGATTATCCGCCGCGGTTTTTATCCCGCACGAGCTTTTCAATCAACCGCGAATTTGCAAAACGAGTCCCGTCTCCCCCGTCTTCTTCCCCGTCCTCTCGCTCGCGTATCGTCAGTAATAACGACGTTCGGTAATCAAGCACGTTCTGGTAGACACGAGAAAAAGGGTTGCGAGACAGAATCCGGTAAGACGATCGCGATTCGACGCGACTACGTGGGCGTTCTCCCGTATCCGTCGTCGATCTCGAATTATGCAAATGCACGATGGATATTCCAATTGCCTCCGATTCCTCGAGGATGAAATTCGAGAGCACCTCGTATTCCGCACATCGTCAGCTCGTGGCGGATACGCTTGTCCTTCAATAAGAGGGGCCTGCGCTCAGATGATGGAAAGAGGAAAAAACACCGGAAGGTGTGCGATCGAATACGCTGTTCATCGTCAGCGATTTAACATGTCGGGCGCGTTTATTGCTCATATATTTCAGCAAGAATTTCAGCTAAAGTGATTTATAATCCTGATTTTGCGCTGGTAAAAAGATGTAATGTATGAAAGTGCGATTTCGATTATATTGAATGACGATGACAGCGCGGGATTTCCATGGGGATCAATTTATATTTTCTTTCCTTTTGCAGGCTGAGAGAGAAAAGTTGCTGCAGTTTGTTGGTTGATAGCTTTAATTAGCATCTACGAAATACAATTGTTTACGTAGTCATCGAGAAAACCGGATAAATGCAAAATGTTTGTACGGTTTGTCGATTTTTCTTTTTTTCCAAGAGAAAATTGAATTTTTCAAAATAAAACATATTCTATGAAAAAATGAAAAATTAATAAAAGAGTCGTTTTAATTTCTTTGGCATCATGTTAATTGGATCGTAAGATATTATATATACCTCTCCCGTGAAATAAAAAATAAAAAGCAGGATCTGGTCTCTCCTCTTGGGGCGAAACCGGGTGGTGCGCGACTTTCAGCTTCAGGTAACACGTGACGGAGTGTAACCTGTTACCGAAGTACCGTGAATAAAGGACCTGAAATTTATTGCTTGCGAGAATGCCGTTACGCTTTCAATTTAGTACGGTTAGCAACACCAATGTTACGAATCGAAAAAGACCATAAAAGACGTAAATATCAGCTGATGTGAGCAACATCGATTGATCATACTAGTCTTTATTTATTTTGTTATGCTGCCTCACTCAATTATACTTCTTTCGACCTGGCCTTCGCCATTTGACAGAGGAACACTACCTATTTTCATCACAATAAACTCGTTGGGTAAATAGTACCATGTGCTCGGTGCAAGTTACTTTACGTCAAAATTGATAATTGTTGAGAATGATGATCGACGATGCATAATTAATTATCGATGATCATTTGAGCATCAGTGTTCGATGGTTCATAGATGGTAATTGATGAGCGAGGTTAATCTAAAATTTTCAAAATATTTCCAAAAATCTTGTTATCGCATGAGAATAAATAATCTTTCGAATTCAAATTTTGGATATTGCAAATTGTTTCAAGTAAACGATAAAGAGCCCAGTCCATCTGCGCACCGCGCCGTATCGCTGTCGGTGAATTTTCAATTCAATTCCGGTCTCGTTCGGCGCACAGCCGTTCGATCTCTCGGCCGTGGACCCACGACCATATAACCATCTCTGGTACCCTCGTAGGTGGACCTCGGCTAAACTCGGCCGTGCTCGACTACGATCGGCCGACAGGCCTGCGCCGACCCCAGACGACGACCCATGGCGATGGGAGCACACAACTGGTTGTGGCTTTCGCGAGGCAAGGCACGCTGAGCGTTCCGCTCCGCTCGCAGCGCATTCCGCGTCGCCCCGAGTCCATCGCGTCGTCGACGCGCGTCGCTCGATACGCGCCCGAATCTCGCCCGCGTCGGGACCGTACGATAACGTCGCGATAACGAGCGTTCCTCCGCGTGGGAGTGTCCTCCGTTGTGTCGAACGCGAGCTGTCAAACGGAGCACGGCGTGCTTCCTCTTGGACGGCGCGCAACCGAAAAAAGGAGCCGCGGCGCGCTCTCGAGGCGCGGCGTGTCACGTGCACGCGTCCTCGCCTGCACGTGACGTTCCCGCCACCCCCGCATCCGTGGATTTGAGCTGATAAGCGCGAAATATGAAACATTACGGCGCGTAAAACGAGTGCCGTCGATGTCGTGGATGTGCGGCTTGATTCCCGCGGCTGTAAATATACTCGGGTAAGAACGTCACGTGGCGGTCGACACGATGCTCCTCCGCCGACTAGCGGTGTTGCTGCTCCTTGTTGCTGCGCGGCCAGCCGCCAGTTACTTCAATCTCTTCCTCACGCAGATGGAGGTCCGCAAGTTAATGGGTAAGATATTTCTAAGATTGTTGATATTTGTGAGATTTATAAGAGGCGAAAGCAGAAAGCTGTTTCATTCTTTCGTTGGCGATCGTCTCGTTGCATTGCATTGTTTTAACGAAGACTCTGAATGAATGGCAAGTTGACGGGTGAGATATTTCTAAGATTGTTGATATTTGTGAGATTTATAAGAGGCGAAAGCAGAAAGCTGTTTGTCTCATTCTTTCGTTGGCGATCGTCTCGTTGCATTGCATTGTTTTAACGAAGACTCTGAATGAATGGCAAGTTGACAGGCGAGATATTTCTAAGATTGTTAATATTTGTGAGATTTATAAAATATAAAAGGCGAAAACAGAAAGCTGTTTGTTTCATTCTTTCGTTGGCGATCGTCTCGTTGCATTGCATTGTTTTAACCAAGACTCTGAATGAATGGCAAGTTAATGGATGAGATATTTTTAAGATTGTTGATATTTGTGAGATTTGTAAGGTATAAGAAAGAGGCGAAAATAGAAAGCAGCTTGTTTAATTCTTTTGTTGGCGATCGTCTCGTTGTATTACATTGTTTTAACCAAGACTCTGAATGAATGGCAAGTTAATGGGTGAGATATTTTTAAGATTGCTGATATTTGTGAGATTTGTAAGGTATAAGGAAGAGGCGAAAATAGAAAGCTGCTTGTTTAATTCTTTCGTTGGCGATCGTCTCGTTTCATTGCATTGTTTTAACGAAGACTCTGAATGAATGCTACGATAAAGGAGTAAATAAAGTTTTTGATGCATTTTGCATGGCTCGCATTTGTCTAAATCAAATATAGATTGATTCTTATTGAATATATTAATTATAATGCATGTTTTGCTGTTGTCATTTTCAGATTACATTAATTATTTTCTGGTTTTATTCAGTTGTATATATTTCAACATTATTTGCAATATTTGTACAATCCACAATCTGTATAATCAAGAAAAGTTAGAGAGAATAGAACTATTTGAAAAATTCAATTGTTACTTTAAATGATAAACGTCAATATTCTTACTGCAGTTTCATTCAATATGTAGCTTATCTCGAGATATCTTAAGATAGTAATAATGAAAGAGTGAAAAGACAGTCATATCATTGTTTCGCATTGCAATAAAATACGTCGATATACTTTAAAGTGCATGCTATCAAAAAGAATTAATGTAGTGATAAAGTTTCCGAGAATATTATATTAATTTTAAAGTTACATTATATTCTAAAAATCACATTATATCTTATAATCTTACGTCACATATCAATTAATAATATCCTTGAATTTATATTTCAGATAGAGCTCATATTTATTTAATAGAATTTATAATAGAGATTAATAAAGTTTAATAGAATTTAAATTCGAAATTACAAAGATATATATACGAGAAATTTGAGAAAATTGCAATGAAATATATGACCTTTCTCAATTTAAAGTTCGATTAAAATAAATTTCATTTGAAATAATATCAGCAATTTAGTTTTGCCATCTATGTGATTTCCTGAAGCTTAGTTAAAAGGAAAATTCTTCTTTTTCAGTCGTTTGCAATTTGACATTTGAATATTTGCGATAGTTGTCATTCGTTATTTTTAAGCATCTTTGATTACTTTCTGTAAATTCAATATTTTATGTTAAAAATACGATTTGCAATTTTATAATAGAAAGCACGATATAACTGTTAAATAAATAATAAAGTGTGTAATTTTATGTTACGTACAGCATGACTTTATCTTAGAAATGAGACAGCGCATAGTAGAATGGAGATATAAATAAAAAATGTCCAATCTAGGGCGCAGAAAGATATTATTATTGAACGAGCTGCATTAACTATGTAACAACATGTGAATGCCGAGAATTATATCTTATATCTTATATCTTTAACGACATTAATTTCTTTCGAGGTTACGTGTTAATCAGATTCATTCAACGGAAGTAAAAAACCTCGCACTTTATACGTCTCTCATTTCTTCGCTGCGCGGTAATAACTCGAGGTGTATGAAACCGGTGTAATTTCAAGTATAAATCCGGTTAGGGACGAACCGAGAACAGGAAAATTGACCGTCACGCATATCTCATATCGGAATTCCCTTTTGAGGCGATCATTTTCCACTTTGTACTTATTTTCGAAGTACACATAGCACGTGCAATTATCAGATAAGGCTGTTACTGCGCTTAACGGCGCATTATCGATAGTGATTTAATCCGAATGGGAGCGATGTGCGACGAGCGAAATTATTGAGACGAGGCAAAATAAGGTCCATTTATTAAATCCCCGCGTGTTACGTGCAGAATCGAAAATCCGTTCCTACGTAGTAAGTTCGATAAGTATTCGATTGGCGCGGATCGTAATTGAGTATTGGACGTTGAATAATCGCTAATGTCAGTGGTTCGCGTATTGCGCCAAGCTTTAAACTGCCCGATAAATAATTGCTATCACTGCTCATGCAACGATTTCATTAGCTACGCATTTGTAATTAAAGCATCGTGAATCGTGACGCATAATCATTGGACATCAATAGTTGGAAAATGAAATATCGGAGGCATGTTTGCCTCGAACAAACTCTTCGGGAATTTTCCCGGGAATCGTTCCGAATTGTTATTTCAGGCAATTTTGAATGATTAATCATTCTCTCCGTAAAACTCAAAGCCGAAAAAAGTTGGACAATTAATCTTTTATTTCACGCGAAATTAACTTCATTGAGCAATTTTTATACGATTTCTATTCTTATAAATTGGATACGAAGTGTGTCAATTTGTCAAGTGACATTAGCAAAGTTATTTTTTAATCCATTATTTATATATTTTCTGGCGGGATAATTATCAAAAGATTTTCATTAGAAATAGTAAAAATATATAAGTTAGATACATTCGCTATCGATTGCACTTTGAAAAAAAGAAAATATTAGAACGTATGCAAATTCGATCTATAAATATGATTAATGCAAAAATGCATTTAAATAACCGAAACGATAAAATCTGCAGGAGAAATTATGCATTTAAGTACTGTGAATAGAGAATTTTATATAATTTTCTTAAAGATAAGTGCACATTTAAAAATTCTTTTCGAGTGTAATCTTGCCTGCTACTCATCGAACGCGATAAAAAAACCGCTCCTTCTTCCCTTAATCCGTTCCATTCTCACGCTTTGGATCCTCTTTATCGCCGTCGCATTTCATTCGTGTGTCACCTTAGTCAAAAATCGTTTCGAGTCGCTGCTCCGGAAACGAATGGAAGCCACTTGGCGCGGTGCGGGCGGACTTTCCAATATTTCCTCGATAACTTCCACGGAGGATAATTCGTTTCCGGACCACTGGACCGCGAAAACCATCCGCCTCGTTGCCCCTCTCGTCGTGGGGCACGAAGGGGTACGATGTATAGGGTGACTCCCGCGACACCTGAACCCGCTCGGGATTTCTCTCCTCATAAGAAAAGTGCGTTCGCGCGTGGGATTGCGCCGCACGCACGACTCTCGATTGGCGTGCTCGAGGCACGTTTCGCACGTGTCGAATTGCACGCGAGAACGTGAACCGCGATTTTTCATTGCGCTGAGAACGAAGCGCGACACACGTTACGGTTCGTGGGACACACTTCGATCGTTGCGACGAATAATAGGATTTGATTGAAGAAAATTGAATGAAATTAAAATTTGCACATGAAAGAGCGCGATTAATATATTTTGTTCTTATTACGAAACAAAGTTTTGATTATTGTTCATATATTTGATTGAAATATTGAAATGTTGATCGCTGCATGTTTCACGTTGATGGAAAAAAATTGCACAACAGTAATATTGCAAAAAAATAAAGATCGCTTAACAGTAATATTGTAAAATGTACGGCGAGTTACATCGTTTTCACTTCAATAATTTATTGCAGCACGAATGGGGCATCAGAGACGCGAAATTGAACGTTTAAATCACGCAAATGATGCGTTGTAATTAAAGATAAAGATTTATGATAGCGCACAAAATTGCAGAGTTGCATTTGCATTGGGCTATATCATTAATTGTAGCTCTGTGTATCTGCCATCATAATAATCATCGTTGGTAACAACATCGTTGACTTTATTGCAACATACAGGAAATCATGATGTAATAAAATTTGCAGAATTAAATGATAAAATTAATGATATCAAATTAATGACATCAGCGCTATTGTGGTTATAAATGTTATAAGCTATTTTCCTGAAACGAATGCTTTGATTTAATATTATGGAATTTAAAAAAAATTGTTCTGCAAACTTTTTAAATTATTTTAGCAATAAGAGAGAAATTTAAAAGATTATAGAGAAGAAAGATAAAAGGTGTCTTTTCTCATTAAAAATAAATTGACTATAAATCGACGTAAAACTTGAAACAGCTGACTTTGAAGGATACCATATCGACATCTCTGTATCCAAAGAATTCGTAAACTATCATACATGCGCCAACAGCAGTTTGTAACTGCGAATAGAATCGGCGAGTAAATACGGCGCGACGTACGAATTTAACATAAATAGTTATTAATAGACATTCCAACCGGGGTGGAGTCGCATTCTTCGAGGTTCACGCAGTCTCGCTGTGAGTCCAACCGCGCGATGCTTGAAACTTGCATACCCGTCTATTCGAAGCCAAGCTAGCCGCAAGGATTCGAGGTCGAGGAGGCAGACGTCGATATACATGCGGTTCCCACTGACAACGTGATAAGTCATTGTACCGTTTTCAATCATGGCTCCATGTCGATGACGACATGGGCCCCATCACGGAGTGTTGTGGGGCAGCCCGTCCTTCGTTCCCTTCTACGAAACACAGCAGTAAATTTCTACGTCTACATGACTGCGCGAAAGCCACCTCGACCGCTTCGCTCGCAGAGGAAACCACTCGCGGCTTGGCATTATAATATACGAGAGGCGTAATAAAATATTATAACGAGGTCCTTGTTAAATGTCGACGTGGGGGCGATCGTGGGGGGAGTCGCAGGACCGGCTCTAGTTTGTTTAGACAACGAATAATCGACGCAATCGCTC